CACATCGCACGGTGCATGTTAGCCGGGGGCAGGCTCAGAAATGGACTGAACGATGTCTCATCCTTCGTGGAAGCTTACGCAGCTCAAATTCAAAACTTGCATTTGAATCGAGCTCCCAAGGCGAGACGTCCTGAAACGATTTCCTATATTGTTGAGATCCTATTTGTGATGCGAGTGAGGTAGGGCGACTAGAGTCTGTTGTAATCCATGAAACATTCGTGATTCGCCTCGTCATTTGCTCTTCGGAGCTCTTCGTGCGTATCACCTCCTAGTACCCATGGCTGTCCTGCTGGAGCGCTGGCAGCCCTCTGCATGAGAGACTCGCTATATTTCGTCGCATCCTCGATTGCACCAATGGCAGATGTACGGACGTGTTTGAAGGCTAAGTGCTTCTATCCATTTCTATGGTCCTGTGCAATGCAAAAACAATGTTTCTATCCAGTATGCTCTCGGGAGCGCTCGATGTTCGCATCGTCTTAGATGTCATTGGTAGGGCGGTGCCGGCTCTCTCACACCGAGATTTTCCGAGCTGCAGCGCATTGCCTGTGCCGTCAGGGCTGTCTATATAAGAGAAGCCCATAACCGAAACTTGCCCTAAAACCTGTGCAGCCCCAAATCGTGACCAGCAATCCTGACGGTGCAGCAGCTGATTGTTGAATTCGAGACTTCGAGCCGCATTCCAGACAGACTTGAAGGTGCCAAAAAAGGCTGGAAGTCGTGGTCTTGCCTAGAGTTTTTGGGGTTTAGGGTTTAGGGGTTCAGGGTTTAATGATTGTTTAGGGGTTTTTGTGGGTTGGCAGCATGCTTGCACGGCTTCGACGTGTTTGAGCAGACGCTCGTTCTCGCTGGCTGACTCTTGCCAAGCAGGCCTTGTTTCCGTTTGCACGCCGTGACTGATGACCAATCCAAGACATCTGTGCGCCAGGGGGATGTTGTCGGAGTTCGACGCCGCAAAGGTAACTGGGTGGAGCTCACTCAGGACACGGCCCCTACACATCTGCAAGATTGAGTGTGGTTCCACGATTCATCCAAACTCCGGTCCTGGAATAGAGCTTGTGTAGCCGTTAGCCTAGAGCCAGGATTCGGACGTCCGCTTCAAGAAGCGCGAGGGTGGGGGTGACCCTCCGATTGCCGCACCTCAGCCGCCGAAATCGATAGGCGGTTCACGTGTGTGATTCTATGTGTTTGCTCACTCAATTGGGGTCGCTGTCGGGGTCTGCAAATGAGACGAAGGATGAATGACTCCTTAAGTCGGATCTTGATCGAGCATGCGTCTTGAGTTCCTCCGAACTTTACTGTACTTTGGGCTCGGCGTGACTGACATGGGCTTGAGCTTTGGTTCAACTAATTAAGAACATTGCTATGTATTTCGTGGCTATAGTCGTCGTTTGTTCATCTTATGTTGGGCAGTGGTCGTCATGCACTCACATATCAACTTAACTTCGAGACTGAGTAGACTACGGTAGCGTCAACACATCACTGACAGACATCTCGAGATCGCCAGCCGAGCCAGCTCTCTGGACTTCAGGGTTTAGGGTACATGGAGGGATCCTTGCCCTAAGGCGATGAACAACCTCCGCCGGCACAAGGCCCGAGCAGCTGCTTTCTCTGAACATGAACCTGTATCGGCTTGCAATCTGCTACAAAACGGGTGCCACTCCCCACTTCTACACGCCGGAAATGGCCAGACGACCCTACCTGGAAAATATGTGTAATAACGGCCTTTAGAGGTTTGAGCCAATTATTTTCCCTACTTTGGGTGGGCTTAGGTAGTGCCGAATGTCGGACATCAGGTTGTGTTTGAGTTCACCGAAGTTGCTCTCGAGTCATATGCGCGCGAGAAATCAGTTTGTATACAATCTGCCCGCCCAGCATTTCTCTTGGAACCTGCAGAGCCTTAGCCTGCTTTTCATTGGGTTTACATGCATCATACATACATACATACATACATACATACATACATACATACATGCATCATTCATAGACATACACAGAGACATGGGTCTATACATACAGGCGCGCATAAGTACATTATGCCGCATGCATGTGCATGCATGCATACATTCACGATTACTGGCTTCATGCTTCGACCCCACTCTGACAGTTGTAGCTGCAGGTGTCGCCGACAGGGACAGCTAGCTCCAGCACCGCGCTGGTGCCGGAATCGGAGGTGCTTCCACTGCAAACACCAGATCCTCTATAGTTATATATAGACCATGACATGTGACTAGCTTTGCTGTATGTTTGATTCATTGCGCTTAGTCGTCTCTTTGTGAAACTTGCAGTTCCGAGGACTCTGACAGATTGAGGGTTCTCCTGGCGAACTCCCACCGGGTTATTTTTTCTGGGGGGTCGAACATTGGGGCTGGCGCATGTGTGATTTTGCGTGGTGCTTCGATAGGCCCAGCAGTTCTAGGTCTAGTCTTTGGAGTCTACGCGGATGTCCGCTTGCACCAATGCTGCTTCGCCAACGCACCAACGACAGATCTCATTTTTTCTTATTGGTACACGCATCAACGACAGGGTCTTGCAACAACTAACGCAGAATTGTCGATGCCTCAAAGTCTCTGCGAAACTTAAATTGTAAGATCTTGATAAGAAACTCGTACATGATTTTTGCAGCTACTATAATGGCGGTGTTAAGACACACAGATACTTTGACATGTAGCCCGTCGAAGCGTCTCGAGGCTTGGATGCTCGTGGAGCACCCGAACTTTGGCCAGCTGCTCCGCCGCGCACGAAAGCGGAAGGACTCTTTTTGTTTGGGCTTAGGGTTTAGGGTTTAGGGGTTTTGGGGGGGGGGGCTGTGGATACAAACAGAGAAGAGAGCAGGTCGTGGTTGTTTAGAATGCTCGACATGCTGGCGTCAAGAGAAAAGCCAGCAGTAGCCGTCTGTTGGCAAGGTACGTGCAGGCACAGAATTCGCATTTAAGAAGGCATAGCCGCGGGTGTTTCCTGGTACTGTAGCCGTAGCCGCAATTACTCCTATGTAACTCGCCTGCCCGTCAGTCCGCAGGGCGGTCTTGGCCACGGGTGTGTTCTGACGGAGCAGCGCCTGATGATGTACCAGCAGGCAGCCTCGGTGAGTGTAAGTACTTGGTGTTGATTCTGTCGCTATGTTTGCTCATCGCTGTCTCTTCATGGTTTACACTAGTGCATTTCTTGGCGCCATGAGGATCATTGCTTTGTAATGCAGAGTTAGGCCTGCAAGTCAGACAGCGATGATGTTGTGGGCTTCATGTCGCGCAGAATCTTGAACTTCTGGCGGGTTCAGGTGTGATCTTTGCAGGCTCAATAACATATATTAATTATAGTGTTTTTGCGAGAGCAGCTTCCGGGCTGAGCCATCTCAACTTGGTTTTCAGAAGGCTACACCATTGTTAATATATAGATGTATTTAGATGTTGTGAAATGTTAAACGTCGACTGCCTGCAGGTCATAGAGGTCTGCCACCGCCGGATCTACAAGGACAGGCACCATTTGGACCAAAGGGTTTGCGGCAATCGAAAGACGTGGCTTATGTGATGGAAGTCGAGGAAGTCTTCGTTCAAGCTTCGGTGCACCACAGATGGGGGGGTTTGAGAAACTTCGGCATCTGCAGTTGTGGGTGAGGGGGTGGTGCTGTTTAATATCTATATACATCGGAGTACCCTAGTTTCTGAAAAAATCTGAAACTCACAAACACAGATGATACCCGACATTGACGATTCCTTAAACATACCGTGTAACATATACCCTTGGAACTCACATCATGGTTTTGCAAACATTGAAGGCCGACTACCCGGAGCCCTACACTGCAGCGAAAGCCTCCCACATGAAGATATGGCAGAGAGGCTTCGGGAAAAGCACTAAAGCTTCTTTATTTAGCTCCGTCAAGATTCTGAACTTCTGCACCCCGTTCCTTCTCTACAGAAAAAGCGACTCTTCATGGCCCTTGTTTTCATAGCTTCTTAGCTGTATTTTGAGGAGAATCTGGACAGCCTGTGGGATGGTGAGGCTGCAGCTGCCTCAGATACCCGCGGTTGCTCGACTTTTGTTGCTTTGGCGTTCGTGGTGTAGGGTTTGAGGGTTGCGCCGTTATCGGTTCCGGGAGTGGAGGTTGCCTTTACTGTTGATCGTTTCGGGTTCAGGGTTGTCTTGTCGCGTTTCGAGTAAAAGCTTCTCGCATCGAAATCCTAACCTGCACTCGAAAAGCTCCCTGACATTTCACGAAGCCCTTATAACACGAAGCCAACATCCTCGCTGTCTTAACATGCAGAAGTGTTGCCTCAGCGCCGGAGACGTGCAGCTCCCTGCATGCGAAAAGTTTCATTTATCGCGTATTTTTTGAAGATTTCGGCGCTGATAGCTTGGGGTGCTCAGGGGTGCTGGTATGTTGGTCAAATGTGATGCTCAGGAAAAGTTGCAGCCTGCCAGAAGCACTACTTTCGCTTTGGGGTGTTGATTGTTTCGTTCAGTAAACCCTACTTGATCGTGTTGATTGTTTCGTTCAGTAAACCCTGCTTGTTAAACTACACCCGGAACCAACCGACAAGCCTGGACCAACATGAAAAAGGTAACTGACCTGTTTCAGGACAAGCTGCCGAGCCAGGAAAGTTTAGAGGCTGGCTGCTACACTTCTCTCAGCCCGAATCTGAGCGAGCGTAGGCGTTCTAAGCCGATCGACTCTTGAGCCGTGGGTTTCCCCTGAGGTCTAGAGGTGCTCGGAGGTCATACATAAGACCGCGCATGCAGGATAAGAGCTGACTGTCCACAAACAGCTTCCTGAGTACTGCAGTTAGGAGGACGTCTACAGCGTTCACGACAAAAGGCTCAAGAGTTACAGCTTGCCAAGGCCTTGAACAAGTAGTCTCAGCGACATTCAGTGAATCATGCTATGCCCGGAAGACGTGTCATGGGATGTCAGCATGCTCAGAACAGACCGTCGCCCATCTCAGACAGGCATCGGTTTGAGTTAAGTTAGCAGCGGAATTCGGAAGCCCCGGCTGCTGTTTTTTGGCATGGCGGCTGACGGAACGGTTCAGCTCACCATCGTTTATGCTGCATCGGGAAGCTTCTTGACGTCTCTGGCATGGCCCGCGGCGGCATCGGTTTCAAGCTTGCAGCGGGAGCTGCAGAAGCACACCCCAACAGGAGCTGTAGGCAGGGGGGCGGGGGAGGGGGGGGGCTTGGGTTCTTGATTCTTGATATCTATACTGTACTGCTATAGGTTCTGCTAGATCTTGCAGGCACGCCAAAAAACCATAACTGTCGAGACATCGCAAATGTGCTTTCAGCCGCCAGGTGACTTGCTGTCGACCACAGGCCCTTTGGCGGGGGAGAAAACCCTATCAGAGTTGGGTATCACGACCGGTGCTGTCTTGGAAGCCGTGCTGACTTTTGACCCGTCGCCGATGTACCTCGTAAACCCCGAAGTGACGGAGTACCTGCTCCTCTTCCGGCACGACGCTTCCAAGAAGTGGGTCTACAACATGGACATCGCGCCGGCAGAAGCGCAGAGAGTCGTTGCCGACATGCGGCCCGTTTCGAGCATCCCGCCTAAACAGATGGGCGGTGTAGGGAGGTGTAGAGGAGTAGTGATCTGCACACGTAGATGTAAGGATGCCGACATAAGAGATAGCCCAGAGGCTCACCGCTTGCTTCGCGCACTTGCGAAGCATTTCCTCCCAAACGAAATTTCGCAGTAGACCGCGAACATACACAGCTCTTTCGCTGAACAGGAGGAGCCTCTAGGCCAACATCAGAAATTCTTCTGTCACACTCCTTACAAAGCTTGGTTTACAGGGTTCATAAACCCTACGTCTGGCAGACCAAGGCGGCTTTCCTGGCATCCCAATCGTCCTCAGCAGACCCGGCGAGAATCCTCTTGAGGCTCGCATGCTTCGGGTCCCGGGAGGTTCCGGCGAGCCCGCGGATCGTTTCAGAGTTTGCATTGAGATTGGAAGGTGCAGGGCCCCCATCATGTAGGTCCCATTCGCGTTTAGTCTAGCGTTGATTTATCGCAGGGTGTTCATTCTGAGTGCTTCGTGCTTATAGGACCTAGCAGTGCAGGCAAACGGCTCAGATTCAGCACAGATCAGAGAGCAGAGGCCCAGAAGTGCGAATCCTAGGCCAGGATCCCAAAGCCCCACGCCATCTGAAACTTGTGGCCCTCGTATTCCTGTAGCACAGCAAATCCGACAAGACCTATCATTGTTGTCATAGCCATCGATCCTCTACACTTCATAGTAGTTCTAAGAGTCCAGACCCTTGCGGTTGCCCCAAAGTATCCCAAATCCTTGAAAGCGTGAACCCCGATAGCCCAAACTCCAAGCATCTCCAAGCCTCGTCTTTCCGAGGCTTATCCGACCCGTTTGGAACCCTTACAAAGCCCATTAATGTGGAAGCCTCATAGAACCCCAAACCGCTGCTCTTTACACCATGAAGCCGTCTTTCTTTCATCCTTCCAAAGCCCTTATGGAACCCTCATAGAACCCTGTAAGAACCCTAATCTCCTAAACCCCAAACCGAAACCCCTAAGCCCTAAACCCCTAAGCCCTAAAGCCTAAACCCCAGACCCTAAGCCCCTAAGCCCTAAGCCCTAAATCCCTAAACCGTAAACACCCTAAAGCCCTAAACCCTAAACCCGAAAACCCTAAACCCCTCACCGCTGCTTTTTTCAGAGGCCTGCTACCAAGCCTTGGGCCTCCACCAAAGCCTCCGGAAGCACATGTCGCAGACCTGGATCCCGAAAATGACCAGCCGCGACTCTCAGAGTGAAGGCTTCCCCTTGAGAAAGGGGAGGGTTTGAAGAAGGTTTGGGGAGTTTAGGGGTTTAGGATTTGTGGGGTTTGGAAATTACAAAATGTTAATGGCAATCATCATTGTCAAAAAATAATAACAAAAATAATGCGCAAGGGCAGCTCAGCTGTGGACGGAGCATCGTGAGCAAAGGAACTGCACCGGGCGATCGTCGGGCTCGACTCTGACGGCGATGACTGGGAAACCGATCTCGGCGATCTGTCAGAGCTCTTCAACGAGTCGCTCCGGAGATTTGCCTGCACTTTAAACAGGGGACCCTCAGGAACTCCATTGTGGTACCCCGTTTAAACGGGATCCTAAATAACCCAATTAGAGTACCCTTAGAGGGAGACCATTCTTGCACCCCTTTTACAAGGAATTGTAAGGAACCCCATTAGAGTACTCCTTGTTGGGAGAGCACTTCTAAGTCCTCGGGGGAAGGTATGGCAGAGATCAAGGCACCCCCCCATTGGGAATTCCGGTGCATAGGATGGCATGCCATTGCTCAGCTTGCCAGAAGTCTTTCTCGCAAGGCCGTCCCTCTTCCTGCAACTCACGACATGCTGAAAACGTATGTTGGATCTGCTTGTCTGACTTCTTGTACGGTTTAGGGGGTTCCCAAAGGGCGCTGTGCGGGTGGGCCTTGATGCTTGTAGAGGGGTTCATAGGGCAGCAGTTTAGAGGTTCAGGGCTTTATCCGCGCTCCTGTTTGAGGAAGCAGTTCCGCGTGGTGATCAAGCATTTCGCAATGGGCAGCAGCATGTGCCCTAGTAGTGCAGTAAGCACGCTTCGTTTTTGTCGATAGCAGCCTTAATCACATATGTTCCTAAAGGTTACACTCTACCACACTGGCGCGAGTAAGGTACACCTCCGTCCTCGGTGGCTATACAGCCGATGACTCCATCGTGGGTTTGCTTTGTGTTTGTTCATCAGCTATCGGGATCTAGATGGGAGCCTTCCAGAGACTCTTCTATCATTCTATCCATCAGTATCCGATAGTGTCACAGTATCTTCAAGTCATAATCGACAGAGAATATTGGAGATCCGCACAACTGTGTATCCCGAGTTTCTGCGGCTCTCTGTTCCTGCTGGCTGGACCCTTGATCTGTTCGGGCAGAAGGCCTGAGAAGAAGGCTTCTATGTCTGATAGTTTTCTGGCTAGGGTGGACTGACTAGCGCTGGTCTCAGGTATTTCTAGGTTCTCTTAGTCCTCAGCTTTAAGGCTACGTCTATTTGATGGCTTTGGGCCATAATAACAAATCCTAAGCCCAAACTATCGCAAGCACGCATCAATGGCTAAGGCCTCCCGGAGGCTCCTGCCTACATGCCTTACCCATAGGCTCCTTAGTAGTTCCTGTTTGGGATTACCTTATAGGATTTCTAAATATGACCCATAAAAAGGAACTACTTAGGAGCCTATGGGTAGAGTGCTAGGATGGTTTTTGCCAGGCAGGATCGTTTTCTGCAGTGTTTGTTGGTTGGGGCCTCCGGGTAATTAATCTGTCGGTACGTAGTTAGTGTAGTCTTTGGCTTGTCCGTGACAATGTACAGGTTCCCTGAGTTTTGAAGTTCGCTCTGTACAAAACCCTGCCGGAAGCACCCACTCTGTGGTGATCGGAAGCAGTCCTGCAACTGCAGAGCAAGGACTGCACAAGGGCTGAGCCGTGCTTGCGGCATCAAAACTTTTGCAAGGGCTCCTAGATTCCGGGTAACTAGCCCTTAGCATCAAAATAGCCAAAAGCCTTATATAACAGGGTCTTGGGGCCCAAAACCTTAAAATATGAGTCCTTTGAGGGTAGAAGCTTTCTGCACCGGGTTTTGCGAGCAGTCGCTGAGCACAGGGTGTCAACACTTTCCCACGGATCTCAGACGAAGTGCTGCTGCCTGCTGTCATTGCCCAAGAGGACATGTCACATATTTGCCCGTAAAAGTTGTGAACGGCGCACATAGAGCTAGTCACTGAAACTTGCGAAAAGAAATCCAGCTATCCAGTCCCCTAATCCCTGGGCCCCGGGTTTTCCAGAGCCATGATGCGACATGCCTGCCGGGCCTTCGCCCGACTCGTCGTTGGAAGCGTCCGAAGTGCCGCAACAGAGTTCATGTTTTGTTGATATATGCTACAGTTACTTGCACAGTATGAATACACAGTGTGCCTTATGCATGCAATTATGTTTACATGCAGTGCTTGCACGTATGTATGTGTACATGTTGAATCATATCCATCATCTGTGTGTGTTCTGTGCAATTGGAAAGACTTGGAGAGTTCCCTTCGCAAGAGTTAAGTTTAAAACACAGCCGCAAAGCTTCGTTGGACCTCGAGTCTGCGCTCTCGTGAGGTGTATTTGCAGCTGGAGGTTCGCGAGGCGTCGATGCTGCGATGCCTAGGGCTCGACTCACGTGCCCGAAGCCCTAAACCCTGCACAGGCTCTTCTTAGACATGGCTTGCAGGGTTTTTTGCATTAGAACATTCATTATCGCAGCAATAATATTGAAACTGTAGTAGTTGTCAGCTCAATGATGATGATGGTAGTAGTAGTAAAGAATGCAACATTATGATTATCTGCAGAAATAATGCGTGTGTTGATAATTGCAACTGTCATTTTCACAATGGTAGCAAGAAGAAGAACCACAAGGTGTACGACATGAACAATAATAATAATAGTTATATCAGCAATAAGCATGCTCATGGTTTAGGATTAGGGTTGCTATGATAGTTAGATAAACAGACAGATAGATAGGTAGATACATAGATACATAGATAGGTGGATGGATGGATAGATCGATAGACCGATAGACCGATAAACCGATAGATCGATAGATAGATAAATAGATAGATAGAAAGATAGATAGATAGATAGATAGAGGTATGTAGGTCGGTAGCTCGATGATAGCTCGATAGACTGTGAACCGGGGGTTTTTTAGGCAGATAGATAGTTAGATAGAGAGGCAGACAGACAGACATACAGATAACTAGACAGGTAGTAGATAGATAGACAGAGAGGTACGCGGATCAGATAGGGAGGTAGGCAGGTAGGTAGGTAGGTAGGTAGGTAGGTGGGTTGGTTTTGGTGGTAGGTCGGTTGGTAGGTAGGTAGGTAGGTAGGTAGGTAGGTAGGTATGTAGGTAGGTCGGTGGGTAGGTAGGTATAGGTGGTAGGTAGGTAGGTAGGTAGGTAGGTAGGTAGGTAGGTAGGTAGGTAGGTAGGTAGGTATAAGGTAGGTATGTAAATAGATAGATAGAGCTTGTTCTGTATCAGTAGTATTTGTCATTATTATTATTATCATGGTTATCTCTTCGAGTATATCTACCCCAAACCCGATAAACCCTAAAAGCCCTAAACCCTAAACCCCTACACCCCAAACCCCTACACCCTAAACCCCTAAACCCTAAATCCCTACACCCTACACCCTAACCCCTAAACCCTAAACCTTTTAGTACCCTTATAGATCCCCTTAATAACCTTATAAATAAAACCCCATGTATTTCCCTTTAAAGGAACCCTCAATACCCTAAACCCCTAAACCTAAACTCCATAAACCCTTAAACTCCCTAAACACTTAAACTCCCTAAACCCTAAACCCTAAGACCCCCCTTCCTTGAGAGCTCCGGGAGGTTGGCCGCGTCGGCGCCTGCAGCCGGGCCTTGGCTTCGGTGGCTTCGAGCTCCTGGCAGGTCGGAAAGCGCAGAGAGCTGGAGATTTAGGGGATTTAGGGTTTTGGGTTTACGAGTTTAGGGTTTAGGATTTACGAGTTTAGGGTTTATAGGAGTTCAGAGTTTGGGGTTTAGGGTTGAGGGGTTTAGGTGTTTGGAGTTGAGGGTTTAGGGGTTTAGGGTTTAGGCGTTTAGGGGTTTAGGTGTTTAGGAGTTGAGGGGTTTAGGGTTTGGAAGTTTAGGGGTTTACGGTTGCGGGGTTTAGGGTTTGGGTGTTTAGGAGTTTAGGGTTTAGTTTAGATGTTGTGGAGTTTAGGGGTTTAGGGTTTAGGGGTTTAGGGTGTAGGGTTTAGGGTTTGGAGAGCTTTTTGAGGGTTCCTTTAACGGCTTCTTCGAGGGTTCCCACAAAGGAGGCTGGTAGGGTTAGATAGGGAAAAGGTTCATGGGGGCTTCATGGGAGGTCATATCGATGGAGGGGTGTGATATGGGTGCTCTGCCAAATGGGTGTACAGGTGTTGGGGTTGTTATGTGGATGTTAAGATGGAGTAGCCTAGAGCGTGTATCATGGGTCACAGGAGATAAGTAAGGAGCCTATTCAGGGGGCCTGAGTGCACTTCTTCTCTCGTTTTCCGGGTTGGAGGGAAGGAGCCGA